CCCATGCATACCATGTTCAGGGAGAGGGCAGGACCCACAACCGTGTTCTCCACCCCGCAGCACCCCATGCTGGTGCAGCACCCAGCAGACAGCACCATGCTGGCCCCCCAGTTGCAGCACTGGTCACATCCACCCCAGTCCCAGCTCTTGAGAAGCACGGACACAAACAGGACCTGGGGCAGGACGGCAGGATCCAGCCCTGCAGTTTTATTGAATCCAGTGTCCGCGGAGTGGGCAGCTCCCATGGCACAGGGCACCTGGGGGGCTTCATTCATCCCAGGGGTTCCTGTCAGTGTCGATGGACATGCAGTTGTACACGGCGTACCGCAGCAGCTCCTCGCAGGCCTTGGCCCTGGGAGAGGGGAATGCTGGGCCACAGCTATGATGGGCACTGAGCACCCCAAGCTTCCCTCCCCGCACCCACCCAGATGTCCCCCCAGGACAGGACCTGGAGATCCTGGGAGGAGACCCCAATGCCGGCCCCAGGGAGGGGGGAGTGTCCCCATCCCCTAGCCCCAGCTCAACTCACGAGGAATAGTTGGGCAAGTAGAAGGTGCAGGAGCATGTGGAAGCCTGGGGCATCACGTCCAGCGTGTTCAAGCTTGGGAGAAAGGAGAGAGAGTCAGACCCCGGCACCACGGAGAGGACCCCAACCCAGGCAGGACGGACTCACTTCTCCCCTTCTGGGTAGACAGTGATCTGAACCGGGAGGCGGCTCCGGCCAGTGACAAACTTGAGGAAGCGGCTGAGATCCTCTGAGGGGAAGGAAAGGGCTCAGGTCTCAGGGACAAGGACAGGACCATCCTGGTCGCTGCTGTCATGGCAGGGTCTGCCCTTCCAGAAGCATCCCGGGAGCACGAGGCGAAGCTAAGGGATGCTCTCAGCATCCCTGGAAGGGCCAGGCAGGATGACCCCAGCCGACTCCCAGAGCAGTGGTATCCCAATCCCTGGCCCACCCCGCTGCACATTAAGAGCAGGAAAAGGCTTGGGGTTGCTCACCACTGGTGAAGTTGTTGAGTGCCTGCAAGAAGTTCCGGATACGAGTGTCGTCAGAGGGAAAGTTCTCAAATGTGACTGTGATGAGGAATGTGCAAAAGCTTCGTTAGAAACTCCCAGCAAAGAAAACTAACATGGGACACGTCTATCCTGCCCTTCTGTGAGAGCCCTGAGCTGAGGCAGGGGAGGAGGAGACCCTCCGCTCTTGGCGAGCCCCTGTGAGCCCCTGGAACCCCGAGGGGGGCTGGCACCCTGCACAAAGGCAGATGGAGAAATGGGGGTCCTGGTTTGCAGGGTGGCCGTTCACCTCTGCCCACAGCAGCCAAAGACCAGAGGGACCAGAGCGTGAACTGGAGGGGTTTGCAGCTAAACCTGAAGCATCCCTATCCGGCGTCCCTCCAGCTCGTCCTCTCCCAGGCACACCGCAACCAAGGAATCAGCACAGGGCAGGACGCGTACACAGGACAAGCATTGGCGAGGGGGGGCCCTGCCCAGGCAGGGGGCTGAGAGCAGCTTTGGGCTGGCCCTGGCACTTACTGAACCTCTGCAGTTCGGCCACTGTGATCTTGGGGTCCCCGCAGATCTTCTTCTCCAGCTGCTGCCAGGTGAGCAGGTCCAACACAGGCTGAGGCACCACGCGGAGCAGCCCGGCACGCATGGCTGCGATCTGGGGGGGGCACAGGAGGGGCCCCACGTCACTGCAATGGGTCTGAGCCCAGGGCAGCCGGCCAGGGCACCGGGGCCAGGGACCACAGGACCCTGGGGCTCATAGACACCCAGGGCAAGGGATGCATGGGGGCACCACCCAGCTGGAACTGGTTTTGGAGAAATATGTTTGCAGCCACCCACCCCCCAGGTCCAGCTGTGGGAGTACCAGGATGGCCTGCCATAGGGGCAGGGTCCTCTTGGAGGCACACTGACCCTGGGGGACAGCATTACCTGCTCCTTGCTCTCCTCCAGTCGAGCCTTCTGCACCAGGCGGATGAACTCCTTGCGATCCTCATAGCGCACCACAGTGCTGCTGCCATTGGGGATCAGCTCCACCACGCGCTGGTCACTCAGCACCGTTGTGTAGGTCAGCTCTCTGCCGAACATGAACTCGAAGGCTTCCCTGTCCACCCCCTCCAGCACCTCCAGCAGCTTCACCTGCAATCCCAACGGGTGAAAGCCATCACAGCAGAGCCGGAGCAGCCACGGGAGCACACGGCACAGCCCTGCCAGCCCCCAGCCCCACTCACCAGCTCCAAGTCCACAGAGGCAAAGTCCTTGCTCCAGGTGACCTCCTCCCCTGCCAGCTGCTTCCACACCAGTGCCGGCAGAGCCAGGACCTGCCAGAGGGAGCAGATGCATGTCCGCCTTGTGTTCCTCCTTCACCTGAGGGCAGCCCTTCTGCCTGACATGGTGGCCCCTGACAAGCCCCCTCACTGGTCGGGGAGGCTCTGCCATGCTCACCAGAAACTCCTCGCCCCTCAGGGCTGCACCCATCAGCTGCCCGATCCACTTGTACTTGGGGAAGTCCTTGCAGGAGGGATTGGGGACGTACATGTCCCTGGTGTCACTGCTGCTGTTACCCTGTGGGAGAGAGGCTTATGACCCATGGATGCAGATGTCACCAGCCCAACACGGTCCCTCCCTGCAGCCTCCCTCTCCATCACCCCTCCGCCTGCTTCTTCTGCCCTCTACACCCCTCCAGGAGATCTCCACCACAGGTGTGTCGTCCCCCCCCCCCCCGCACCGCCCCCCACCACTTATAAACAAAAACACCCCAAAATATTGCAACCAAAGGACAAGCCCACAAGCTCTGCTGGATGTTCCTCCAGGGCCAGGTCAGGCAGACAACAGGGTGTCAAACCTGGTTGGAGGTGCGCACGAAGAAGGGTAGGGGCACAGGGACGTCCGCTGAGCTGGGACACAGCTCCTCTGACACATCTGACAGGCTGTCCCGAAAACCACCGCCTGCGATGGAGGCAGAGGCTGGTTAGTTCCTGACACACCAGGACCAGATGCTGAGCTGCAGGATCTGGCCAAGCCACCCCGTCTCCCTGGGGCAGGGGCAGCACTGGGGGCATAGGGGACATGCAGGGACCTCCCCACATATGCAGAGCAGGGCTGGCTACCACAGAGCAGCCAGGACAATGTGGGCAACACACTGCAGCAGGCAACCTATCAAGCTGCCCCCCAGCAGGAGAAGGCCCATGGGCAGGAGGGGAGAGCTCTCACCATTGTCAATGACGCCCTCAGCGATGAAGTCGCACTTCCACCACTGGCTGTATTTCGGGGGCCACCTGCAGGGAAGCAACAGCCCCATGCACCCCCCTCCTTCGAGAGAGAGCCAGCAACACCCTGCTTTGGGGAGGCAACACCCCACAAATGTGATGTGAAGACCTACCTGTAGTCCAGGGGCCAATTGTTCTTGGAAGATCTGAGGCTTTCGTACAGCTGGAGAGGAGAGCAGAGCAGAAAGGGGATGAGACACAGCGGGGGGCGAGCGATGCTGAACTGGCAGGTACCTGGCGCAGGACATGGCATGGCCATACCTGGGTGAAGATGGCGTTCCTGCAGCTGGGGTCCAGCGCAGGGTTGGCACGGTGCTCCCCAGCCAGGTACCGGTTGATGTACACCTTTGGTGGGGTGTGAGGTGGGGTGGTCTCCGAGGACTGGAGACAGTGGGTGATGAGGGCTGTGCTCTGCTTGGACAGCAGCAGGAACGGCTTCATGCTCTAGCAGCAGACGAGCAGGGATGGTTAGAGGCCAGATTCTGCTGCCACATGCCCTCTTTCTCCCTCCCCAAGCACAGCCCCCAGTGTCAGAGGCGATGCTCAGCTCCTCCATCTCTCTGGCAATGCCCAGCACGGCAGCTCTTGGCATGAGCTCCCCATTGGATCAAGGGTGACATGCCACAGCCCCCAGGGAAACCAGTCGAGCCCATGACATCATCCCAGGGGAGCCTGGCAAATGCTCACCCTGAGTGCATTGAAGGTGCCGATGCTGTCCTCGGAGAAGGGGATCAGGTAACACAGGACACTGTCCAGGAGCTGGACAAACCTGGAGACCGGAGAGGAGTACTGTGAGGATGTGAGGAGTTTGGCAGACGCACGGAGCTCGATCTGCCTGTGGTGTTTCACTGCAGACAGCCCCAGGCACACACCAAGCCTGGGCACCGTGCTCCCCGCATGTGGGTCTCCTCCAGCCCATGGAGGGACACCAGCACACCAAGGGGAGCACCCAGTCCTCTAGCTCAAGCCAATCCTCTAGTCCCCCCACAAGAAAAAGCTGCAAACAAGGGCAGCCCAGCCCATGCCACAGCACTGCGGCTGAATCGCTGTGGGGCCAGTGTTGACCCCAGCCTGGGGCTGCCCTGCAGGCAGCGGGGTGGGGGATTCCACATGATGCAGGTCCCCCTCGCCCCGCTGCCACCACTGTGCCTTACCTCTGAATGATCACGGCCCGCCGGTACAGCACATCGGCGTCCACCCCTTCCAGGAGAGGGTAGCGCACCAGCCGGGCTGGCTGGAACATATCAGCATTGAGGATCAGGTCCCATTCCCAGAAGGATGTGATCTTAATCCCTCGCAAGCGGACATTGTACCCTTGGTCTGCCAAGAAAGGACAGCAATTCTGCATGCGTGGCTGCAGCTGCATGGCCGGCACGGCTCAGATGCTGCAACTGGAGCCAAGGAGCCCCCAGCACCTGTGACATCCCAAATGAAGCTCATTCCCCAGATTTTCCTCCAACAGACCCCAAAAAGCAGCCAGTGCAGCAGGAAGAGCTGCAGGTTTAGCGCCGGGCTGGGCTGGCAGCCCCAGTCAGGCAGTGCAGGCTCACCCCGGCACTCCAGGATGCGGATCTCCAGCACCGGCAAGTGAGTCGTCATGTCACAGAGGATGCAGACATCCTGGAAGGTGTTCCTGCACACAGAGGGAGATGGCAGAGCTGTGAGGCAGACACTGCCGAGGCAGCCAGCGACACGTGGACCTCTCCGGCTTCCCAGCCAAGGATGTGCTGCTACCCATGGCAAAAGCCCCCCCGCCTCACCAGGGCTGTGGCAGGAGGGGACCGAGCAGAGAGGAGAGGCTGTCAGAGGCACAGAGGCATCCTGAAGAAGGTGGAAGCCACATCCAAAGATCCAGAAAAGAGCATAAATTCAAAGCAGAATAGAAAGGCAAGATGGCCAAGAGCATGTCACTGATCCATGGGGGGTCCCGGCACATCTCACAATGACACAACCATCCTTCAAGCCGAGCTGGTCACACAAGGGTGATGTGTTTTGAAGGAAATGGGAATTTGTGGAGATGAACAATTTGGTAAGTGATTTGCTTGTGTTTCCAAAGCCTCTGGCAAGGTCCCATCAAAGACCTATGGGCGCATGGGATAAAATGACTGCGACTGCCCAGACACAGCGAGGAGTTGGGTCCTGCCACCAGAAAGGAGACCTCAGCAGTCTCATGGGTGCTTCTTCAAAGACAAATTTCACTGCTCAGCCAAAAAAAGGCAAACAGGCAAATTTTGGGGAAGGAGGAGGAGATCTTCGCACCCATGTATAAACTCCTGCCTGCCTTGAGAAGGGTGCTGCAAAGCCAAGGTGAAGAGGGAAAGGTGAAGCACCCCAGGACTTAGCTACAGCACAGCAGAGATGTTCAGAAAGGTGATGGCAGTGGCACATGTCCCCAGAGGTGAGGAGGAGGAGACAGAAAGATCCCCAAAGTCACCAGGCAGGAGGAAGCACGCTGCAACACAGGTGCTGCAGCATGGATGAGGAGCCAGGGTGGAGATGAAGGCACTCAGGTGGCACATGGAAGCGAGGGACTACCATGCTTGTGGGGACAGATGTAGCCTGCACCCAGGGAGCCCGGACCCACAGAGAGCCACCACCAGGTCACTCAGGACCAACCCCAGCCCTTTCCTTAGCATCTGCTCGGGATGCAGAGACAGCTCAGGAGTCTGGCCCAAGCCAGACCCAGGCTGCTCCTCGCTTGTTACTCACTCATTAATTAGGATGGTTCTCAGGTGCTGCAGCCTGTTCAGTGCCCCCCCATACACAGCAACCCTCTTGGGTATATAGGAGCTGACCTGCCCATCCAGCATCAGCCACAGCTTCCTGGGGATGAGAAGAGCAAGGGGTAGCATCGTCCTCTCCTCCTGAGCTGCCTGGGCACAGAGATACCCCTGGAGATGTCATGGGGCTGGGGACAAGGCAGTGTCCTCCTGGGGTGCATCTGGTGGCAGCTGCCCCCACCTCAACTCCAAGCCCCCAGCTGTGGCCCAGGGAAAGCTGCATTTAGGAGGAAGATGGTGTGCTGCCCCACACCTTGCCCATCCCTGGCAGAGCTGCAGGGAGGGGCACCCCGAGGTCTCACTTGACAATGGTGCCTTTCTTCATGTTGAGCCGCACCCAGTGCTGTCCTGGGGGCCCGTTGCTCTCCCAGGAGGTGTATGTCTGGTTGTCAGTCAGATGGGCCACGCCACAGTCCTCCTACAAGAGTGGAGTGAAGGGAGGGATGGATCTGAGCACCCTTGGGCACACCATGGTCGCCCCGGGACGGCTCCCATGGGACCAGAGGAGGTCAGGACCAGGCCAGCCCCTCAGTTCACCAGGCTGCAGGTGTATGGTGGCTCCCACACAGAGCAAGCTTGGCATGGCCGCGGACCCCCTCACAGTGACCCAGAGACACAATGGAATTTTGCTTCACATGCCCAACTCCCAGCAGCTTCGCTAGAGCAGCAAAACCCCACCACCATCCCCTACTCTTTATGGAGGGGAAAGCCACTGTCGGCTGCTCGTCCTCACAGCTGTGGCAACGCTTGTGCATCTCATGCTGATTTTAGGCTGCGGAGGAGCCCCATTACGCACTGCCTGTGAGGAGACCTCGATGCTGCTGATGTGCTCCTTGGTGCAGTCCTGGTGCTGCAGCTCCCTCTTGCTGTGATCATACAGGAAGCGCCCCAGCTCCATGTCGTGCTCGTAGCTCCAGCCCGGGGGCACAGACCTGCAGGGAGGCTTCATGTCAACAGGATGGGGATACCAGGCTGTGCCCCAAACCTGCCCACCAGCACAGTGCTGGTGCCCCAGCTTGGATTGGCTGTAGCGTCTCATGGTCACCACAGTGGGATGGCGCCGGGGAGCTGTCCCCACCGCAGGCAGATGGCATGGCTGTATCTCACCACCACTCCACACTGGGTGTTTATGGCCACCCCAGCCCTGTGGGAATAGCACCACGTGGTTGCTCTGACGGTCTGATGCTCTGCAGAGCAAAGGCCATCTTTGCTTGAGCAGTGTCAAACGATACCAATATAAAAGGCATCTCCTGGCACTCATCCTCCCCACTCCCAACCCTGAAGCCAGTCCTGGCCCCACAGGGATGTCCAGTGCTCAACTGGCCGCTCCTTGGGGTGCTGCAGTACCACTCTAGGAGATGCACTCGTACCGAAACTTCTGCACTGCGGCCTCATCCTGCTCTGCAAGTCTGGGCTTCTCTCCCAGGCGCATGGAGTAGGTCAGATCCACCACTTGTTCCCAGCTGGAGCAGCACCGGTGGAGGAGTCGCACAAGGGAAAAGATGGGTCAGCAGTCAGTGTGCCCAAGCATTACTGCCTTAGCTTGGAGTGGAGGCAGCAGCAGCGGGGGTCACACCCAGGGGCTGCAGAAACAGCTGTGGGAGGGATAAGAGCATCCCTGCACCTGGGTGCAGGCTGGGGCAGAACAGTGGAATCCAGCCCTGCACATTGCCTTCCATCATGAAAATCAAATACGAGCTCTCTCATCACTGCATTACCTCTGTGACATCGCTCAGCCCAAACCCGAGTGCTTCAGAAACCCCCTGGCATCATCTTTATCCTGCACAGGTGTTGCCACAAGCAAGCAGGATTAGCCTATGAGGGCCCGCAAGTGGCTCAGCAGGGATGGGTCCTACCTGTGCTGGAGGGAGTGAGGGGGGCTGTGCTGGCCGCACTCAGGGGATTTGGGATGGCTGGGTCACATGTCCTCTGTGGGTACTGGCCGCGCGTGCCTCCAGCATCCACAGCCCGGACCCTATCCGAGGTGCAGCAGGCTGAGGCCATACCTGACCATGGGTTTATAATCAACCCCGAGCGTTTGGTGCTGCCACTGGATCTTCTCCACCGAGTTAACCGGGACCAACTTATCTCCTCCCTCTCCAAACCTCTGCGCCAGGAGCCAGCCCTCCGCCAGGTCATGGCTGCTCGTGTACTCCTCCAGCTGCTCCTGAAAGCGCATCCCGGCTTGTCACCACCGTC